TTTGAGTATGACACACACAGGCAAAAAATCAACCTGATTTTAAGAGAAATTCATATGAATTGGAATCAGTGAGGAAGATGTGATTGTATTTTGTTTGTAATTCCATACAAATGATGACCTGTTTATCCTTTCATATGACTTAAGTTACGATGAAATTGTTATGAAATTGCATGATTGAGACTGTGTTGCAAAATACTGCACTGAGCATTGCTTTGAATGATCAGAAAGTTTGTTAAGATAGTTAAGAATCTATTGTGTTTTTGATATGGTACTATTTTGATCAGATGCCATATATGGAAAAAATGTCCCTATAGACCAAATGACAAAGGAATATATTTCACATTCATTTAGAATACCACTAAACTGAAACATAGTTATTAAATACAGATTTTTCTTAAAAGTTACATTCTGTTCTGATTCTGTTACATTCTGTATTCTTGTAGCGTGAGTGTATCTCAATGCATGTTGGTCAAGCTGGGGCCCAGATGGGAAATGCATGCTGGGAACTTTACTGCCTGGAACATGGGATCCAACCAGACGGACAGATGCCCAGTGACAAGACCTTTGGAGGAGGAGATGATTCCTTCAACACTTTCTTCAGTGAGACCGGAGCAGGCAAACATGTTCCACGTGCCATCTTTGTAGATCTGGAACCCACTGTGATTGGTACGATGATTTAGCTCGTAAGAACACTATTTGAGTGAATATTTTGCTGTTTTGCATATAAAAGCCAACTGATCGTACTTGTGGTCCAGGTAGTTAATAATTTTTATGTGCTATTTTTATACACAGATGAAGTGCGGACCGGCACATATCGCCAGCTCTTCCATCCTGAGCAACTCATCACTGGCAAAGAAGATGCTGCCAATAATTATGCTCGTGGACATTACACCATTGGAAAGGAGATCATTGACCTGGTGTTGGACCGGACTCGTAAACTGGTTAGGTTTTCCCATTTTAGAATAATGTTGTACTTTCACGACAGACCTAAATTTGGTGCCAAATTCCCTATTAGAAATTAGAAGATAATATAAAATTTGTGTTAACATATTACATAATTATAAAATTATAAACAGATTAATCAACTGTAATATATAAAATAAACCTCACTTTTCTCTCACCCCTACAGGCTGACCAGTGCACTGGCCTTCAGGGATTTCTCATTTTCCACAGCTTTGGTGGAGGTACTGGTTCTGGCTTCACCTCTCTGTTGATGGAGCGCCTCTCTGTTGACTATGGCAAGAAGTCCAAGCTCGAGTTCGCCATCTACCCAGCTCCCCAAGTTTCCACTGCAGTGGTGGAGCCCTACAACTCTATTCTGACCACCCACACCACCCTGGAGCACTCAGATTGTGCTTTCATGGTAGACAATGAAGCCATCTATGATATCTGCCGCAAAAATCTGGATATTGAGCGTCCTACTTACACCAATCTTAACAGGCTCATTGGCCAAATAGTCTCCTCCATTACTGCTTCTCTCAGATTTGACGGAGCTCTGAATGTGGATCTGACAGAGTTCCAGACAAATTTGGTTCCCTACCCTCGCATCCACTTCCCTCTGGCCACCTATGCTCCTGTGATTTCTGCTGAGAAGGCATACCATGAGCAGCTTTCTGTTGCTGACATCACCAATGCCTGCTTTGAGCCCTCTAACCAGATGGTAAAGTGTGATCCACGTCATGGTAAATACATGGCATGTTGCCTCCTTTACCGCGGAGATGTGGTGCCCAAAGATGTTAACTCTGCCATTGCTGCAATTAAGACCAAACGCACCATCCAGTTTGTGGATTGGTGTCCCACTGGCTTCAAGGTGGGCATCAACTACCAGCCCCCTACTGTCGTTCCTGGAGGAGACCTGGCTAAGGTGCAGAGAGCAGTCTGCATGCTGAGTAACACCACAGCCATCGCTGAGGCCTGGGCCCGTCTAGACCATAAATTTGACCTGATGTATGCCAAGAGAGCCTTTGTGCACTGGTATGTGGGAGAGGGCATGGAGGAGGGCGAGTTCTCAGAGGCCAGAGAGGACATGGCTGCTCTTGAGAAGGATTACGAAGAAGTGGGCACTGATAGTATGGGAGATGAAGATGAAGAAGGAGAAGAATACTAAAGAAAACAAATGGTGACCAATTTTTTTTGTTGTTAACTGCAACGTATGCACTAATTAAAGAGTTGTTTTGGTCAAGCAAATCTCAGATTCTTGTTATGTTGCTTTAAATGATTTAAAATAAAATATTAATTTAAAAAAACAATGAAGCTACATTTCTATGCTATATTTCGGGGGGGGGGGGGGGGGGGGGGGGGGGGGGGGGGAGCAATTCCAAGGGTCCTGACAAGTGGCCCAAGAGAAACCATTAGGAAACAAAAATTGCCCAATGCAGTGCATAAACCTGTAAGAGGCCCAAAATTCCTACTGATGGCCCTGACATATATACAAATTTAACATGCACCTTTTAAGTGGAAAGATACAGTACATTTAAATTTTTAATTTAAAGAATCAAATATAATTTAATCTAATCTAGTCTATATAGTGAGCATTCAAAAAAATCACTTTGTTGTTATTAATTATGGAAATGTTATATATGTTGCTGTAAAATGCACTAATGTTCCAAAGTAACATTTAAAAATCCAGATGTTAAACCTGTTTTTTTTTTCCCCTTCTAACATCTGTCCAACAACTGGTCAAGCTATGATAGATTAACCAAGAACAGAGCTGATCTTAATTTATCACACATGTTGATATTTTGCTTTACATTTGTCACATCTGTCACATCTGAGTACAAAGATGTGCTAATACTAACACAAGTTTAATTTGAATATACGATGTGAATGTTTAGTGTAAGTTTTAATGTTCTATAAACTTGTAAAATGACCACTAACTGGCTAAATAAAATAAGAAACGCTAAGTTTTATAGGTACTTTTGATTTAGTGGGCGCACAAAAGCTTAACGTATATATCGATATTAATATATTTCTTAATCAATATAGAATCGTAATCTCATTACATAATGTAAAAACTTGCTGGCGCCATTCAGCTATCCAATCACCGAACTATTGTCGAGTGTTAAACTGATAGCCAATCATAGCTCAGGATGAGGTTGCCCAATATCCAATCATAGCGGAGGAGGCGTGATTTTTTTTTGGGGTGTTTACGGGAGAGGAGGGGGAGGCGTTGGGAGAGTTCAGTTCCCTTGGGTCAGTGGGCGGAGTCAGTGACGTGCCAAAACACTGGCGTGTCTGTGTTTTTTTTAGAGCTGTCGCTCAGCTGATGGTGACGCAGCGCGGCTGTAGGAGGGGACGCACGATCGAGAGACCGATATAGAAGCGGGAATAATAACCCGCACGGTCTAGTAAATGACACACAGCGAGGTGAGAAGAAGCGTAAGAAAGTAACAGCATCGCGTGACACATCAGTTATAGTCATCGGTCTTCGCGAAGGATCTGTGTCTCTGGCACGAGCTGTCACGCAGCGCATTCCAGCGGCTGCCTAGGCAACATACTTCAGCCTTGTTTATTTAGAGAACGGCCGAGGAGACAAAGCGCCGGTCCTCTCTGGTGGACACTTCTCAAAAAGGTAAATTGTCTCTCGGGGTTAGTTTTGGGGCTAGTGTGGAGTCACGGAGTGTGTGTTGGAGTGCTTGAAAGCATGATGGCGTCCGCGTATGTAAGCAGCGCAGCTGTCAGCGGCCATTATGGCCCAAACTAATTACAAACTTTGAGCTTGACATTAACAGCACATGCTGCCTGGCTTCCAGTGAGCTCCACACTTTGATAGGATTTTTCTCTAGAATGAGGCCTGTTGTACTCTCACACAGACAGCCCCACAGTTTGTGCTTGTCCACATAAACAAAAAGAATTAATAGTCATTTCAGTGAACTGTTTGAATGGACTTATGGCCTGAGAGCAGCCTGGCATAAACTTTATATGCCACAGTCACAAAGCTGTAACACTAGAGGGGTCCAACATAATACACAACACAGCACTACTAAAACAATATTTAAATAAAGCCATTCTGTGTGTCAAATAACACATTATCATTATTCATTCCATAGTGTAACTCAATTCAAAGTAAAGCTGTTAAATATTATAGGCTAATAATAACACTGTCGCTGACTAGGCTTTGGCACCATTTGTGATCCTGTTACTGATGTGTAATAACACTCATTTTGCATGACCATGTTCATTGAGATTGCTTTGCGAGTTCATTTTACTTTCCATTTGTCACTTGGTACAGCGGGTGCAGTGAGGACAGGAAGACATGGTGGATTACTATGACATTCTGGGAGTGTCACGCAACGCCTCTCCAGATGACATCAAAAAAGCGTAAGTATCCACACACACAGGATAACCCCTTTATCTCCTGGATGTGATGGACAGTCTAGATTTAGATTTCTCACTTTTGCAAGTGTGTAAGAGAAGTGAAGAGTGGTGTGTGATTTTAGAGCCTTGTTCTGCCGGGGAAGCAAAAAGAAATCACAATGAAAACATTGATAAGCCCTCACATTTCCCCAACCAACGACACCACCAACTATGTATTCCTGGTCCACCAACTATGTATTCCTGGTATGCAGCTCTGTTCTGGCTGGGGGCAGAGTAAATTTCCAGGCTGGATAAATGTAAAAAGGACCCTGAAACAAACTAGCTAGATCAATTGTATGGCAATATTGTGAATAAAGTATTCAAGTCAAGTGGGTTTTTACTGTCATTCATCTATATAGCCTGTATACATCTGAACAAAATATCGTATTCATAATGAAATTACTCATTTCATTACTTATTCATTTTTCAGTAACTACTTTGTCCTGGTCAGGGTTGCAGTGGATATTTAGCCAAACCTCTGAGCACTGAGCACAAAGTCCAGTCCATCACAGGGCACTATACACACATATTCATTTACATTTACGGCATTTGGCAGACACTCTTATCCAGGGCGACTTACATTTACCTCATTTTATACAACTGAGCAGTTGAAGGTTAAAGGGCATGCTCAAAGGGCCCAGCAGTGGTCGTGCTGAGATTCGAATTCATGACCTTCTGATCAGAAGTCCAGCATCATAACCACTGAATTAGCACTGCCCACATAGAGTGCACTTCCAGTGGCTGGGTCGGTTCCCAGTGATCCCAGGCAGCGGCAGTGAGAGCGCAGGATCCTTAGCCACTAGGCCACCAGGGAGACATTCACTTGCTTATTCACACCTAGAAGCCAGTGTAGCCAATTTACCTACCGCCATTGTTTTTGGGAGTTGGGAAGAAACTGGAGAACATGGAGACAATCCACATGGGCACGGGGAGAACATGCAAAACTTCTCATAGACAGCAAACAGAGCTCCGGATCAAACCAGGGACCCTGGAGCTGTGAGGTGCCGATGCTACCTGCTGTGTCAAAAAAAATCAGATTGTTATTGGCTTAGAGACACTTTTAAGCAGTACAAAATTCTGCTTTAGCTGACTAGCAAGAAAATTCCCTCCATGTTCACAGTTTTGCACAGTTTGCTTTGCTCATACCAGTGTATAGCAGGTTGGCCTAGTTGGGCTAGATTCACAGACACTTGCAAAAGTCTCAGAAGCATTGCTTAATTTGCCTGGATTATATTTTCAAGCATGTTAGGTCGCATTTACGCAATAATTCAACTTTGGGGCAAATACAAATATTTGATCTACATAAGTGTTGAATCTAACAACTTGTTGATGGCTGTTTTTCACATCACAACTACACAGTTAGCATGACTGAGCACATTTCTTTCATGACTCAGCAGTATGTGGGCACAATAGACAATGCTCAGTCTTGGACCACCATCAGGCATCTCTGCCCGCTTAGTGCTCGAATAGAGTACACTAACTATTTAACAAATCCTTGTTCTGTTTGTCAGCATTTGATTACCAGTATTTGTGTTAAGAGTTATGTATTACATGAGCGGGTAATCTGAGAACAGGCCAGTCTTCTAAAAGGTTATGTGCTGTAAAGGCATTGATAGAAAACGTGGTATGTTCATTTGTATGTGTGTGTGTGTGTGTGTGTGTGTGTGTGTGTGCATGCATGTGTAGATACAGGAAGCAGGCCTTGCGGTGGCACCCAGACAAGAATCCAGACAACAAGGAGGAGGCAGAGAGAAAATTCAAGGAAATTGCAGAGGCCTATGAAGTCCTGTCAGACAGTAAGACTGCTTAAGCTGTGGCGTGTAAATCATATTTATTTTACAATAATTCTTTTCTTCAGTACTAATGCAGTGCTGTATTTTCACATTTCTCAGGAAGCAAACGAGAAGCATATGATACTTACGGCAAAAGTGGCATGCCAAGCTCAGGTGAGAAACTGACAATAGTACATTCTTTCATGTATATATGTATATATATATATATATATATATATATATATTTATAATTTTTTTGTATCTCTTACTTTTCAAAGGCTCTGGCGGTGGCTCTTTTCCCGATGACTTCCCAGGATTCACCTTCACATTCCGCAGCCCAGATGAGGTGTTTCGGGAGTTCTTTGGAAACCAGGATCCATTCGCTGACTTCTTCGGTTAGTCTGAGAGAGTCACTGAATGCTTTAACTGCAGGCTTATTGACTGCTGCTGCTGTTTTTTGGGGTTTTTTTTTCTTTACACATCCTACAGCTCTAATGGGCTTATCACATTCTCCTTGTTCTGTTGTTTGTAGTGTGAGTTTTAATAAATGTCTCATTACTCTCTAGATGATTTCTCGTTTGGCGGCATGCACAGTGGGATGCGCAGCGCTTTTCGTGGACACCATGGCCCCTCCAGACTTGGGCCCAGTCGCTTCTTCTCCTTTCCCTCAGCAGATGGTTGGGATTCATTCTGTAGCACATGCTCACACACACATACATACGTTTTTCCATAGTCTTCAGTTTAGCTAGATTCAGCTTATATTAAGCATATACAAACTAGATTTAAATATAATAGAAATGATGCACGTGAATACAGCAAAAACAAATTGCAGTAAAAGCAAATGCGTCTGTGTCTGTTTTATTGGGTTGATTTAATTTTGACTGTGGTACATCGCTGCGACTTTTTAATGACATTAAGCATTATGTGTCAAAGTTCTGTATAAGATATTTGACCTTTTGATAGAAATAAAGACAGTTTGTGCATGCTGACAACCCACTTTTGGGTAGTGACCCACCAGCTGATAACCACTTACGTAGGTCATGTGTAATTTCAAATTCATTTCATGCATACTCACTTGTTTACGGAATTAACACTGTCCTAATTAAGTACGTTATGGTTCTTTTCTTTCATATGCAGTTGACTTCACCACCTTTTCTTCTTCCTCACTGGGAGGCCTTGGGTCTGGAGGGGGGAATTTTAAATCTGTGTCCACTTCCACACGGATCGTCAATGGGAAACGTACCACAACAAAAAAGTCAGTTTAATTCTGTATGCATTATCTAACATTCTGTCACTTCATTATTATCACTTGGTTGCTAATGTTACTTAAAGTTACTTAATGTTACTTAAATGAAAAGAACAGCTGGGGATCTTTTAAATACTTGTCTTTATAGGATCAGAGAGAATGGGCAGGAGAGAACAGAGATTGAGGAAGATGGGGTTCTGAAGACTGTCCTAATTAATGGTAATTTTTACACTCCATCCAACAATCAGCCCATATAATTCTGACTTCTTAACAGTGATTTAAATCTGGGCAAGTCAGGTTAAGAGGAGCTTGCCACTGTAACCTCCTGACACTGTAACAGATTACTATGTGTGTAGCAGTGAGTGTAATCCAGCTGAGTGTGTGTTCTCAGGTGTAGAAGATGAGATGGCTCTAGCTCTGGAACTCAGCCGCAGGGAGCAGTCTAGCCAGCCTCAGCGGACAGAACAGCATCAGCTCCCTGCCAACGCTGCCCACACTAATCTGGCCAGTCACAACCCCCGAAACAGCACCCAGCGCTCCTTCAGCTCCACCCCTTTCTTCAACTGCCCCAGTGACAATGACGAGGAGGACGAAGACCTGCAGATGGCACTGGCGTACAGCCTGTCTGAGATGGAGGCCCAGCAGCGGGCAGCCGCCTCCACTCAGGATATGATCTCAGGTGCCAGGGGAGGGCGGGGCAAGCAGCAGAAAGGGAGGGATGCTAATCACGAGCCCAGATCAGTGAGGGATGGGATACATGAATCAGCACAAGAATCAGTACAAATCACCTGTTCATCTCCAAATGAGAAAGGAACAGATAAGGGAAGAGGGGGATTAGAAAGGAGTGCCAGCCCAGAGGGGGTTCTTTTAGAGGATAGGAAGGGAGATGAACGAATTGCCAATGGTACTGCTGTGATGAAACGCAAGAGGAAGTGTCAGTGTGTGGTGAGTTAAGTGGGAGTTAGAAGTAATCCTGAGTCCTAGAACAGAGGGAGGACACGCTGTTCAACACTGCTGCATGATACACTCAGTATTAACCCTGTTTATGGCTGCTGTCTTGATCTTAACCCTATCTGAAGTTTTGTGTAGCATGTTAATAGAGAGATCTTTGCCTGTTTGTCACAGAGGGTAAGACACAGTGTTAAGAAGACTTCTTTTTTCTATTTTCTTTTCAATTTTAGCGTGCATAACAGGACTGGTGCCAATTTATCACAGAGAGGATAGTTCTGCTAACTCATGGGCTTTATTTGAAGATGTTAATGCTTCAGAAATGGCACAGTGAAGCAGTGTAGTAACAAATCATATCTCTATACACTATTTGTTTCATACTAACTCACGTTTGGTAGATAATTTGGTTGGTTTGTTTACTATTGGCTTATTTTGCCTTACTTCTGCTATAACATTGAAACTGACATGATGCTGAACACTGAAGTCGGCTTAAAGTACGGATCACCTGTATTATTCAGATTATAAACTAAAAGTGGACTGGTGTCATTAATCAGACATATAAGTGGCAGTTCTGTTTACATCTGTCATGTCTATTAAAAGGAGGGTTAGCTGCAGAGGTGTTCTAGCGTTTTTGTTTGTTTTTTTTTGTTTTTTTTTTGCCACAGCACTATCTGGAGTTCTTTTCAAGAGATAGTGTTGAGAGGAAATTTCTCAAGCGATGACGAATTTCTCAAAATGATGCTACTATGAATGTTTATGAATGTATACTCAACAGAGTGCAAAAACAGAATTTAGGCTGATTCTGCTGTGTCTAAAGATGTTTGTGCAGTAATGGTATGCCTCTTACACTTCATGTTATTCATCATAATGATGTGATAAATCAGCCCCTCTTGTACTTTAACTACAATCAAACTTTAGGGAAACTAAACAGCACTTAATTCAAGTGCAGTGAATGTATGTTTCTGATGAAGATTGGAAAGTGGGATTTTGTTAATAAATGTGTTGTAGACTGTATTAGGTCAGAATGAATCATATGTTGGTGATGTTCAGTGCCTTGAGAATGTTATATTTGATGTGCCATTTATTGTCAGTGTTGCCAAAGGTGGTAGATATGTCTTGTTGTCACCTGCGTTTCCATTTTTAATTACATAAGTGGTCAGCAGGTGTAAAGTTTTTGTAGTGCTAGCAAGTTTTTTACACAGTTGTCAGATCAAGGGAATATCAGTTCTCTTATATGCAATAGACACAATGTAAAAAAAAAAAGCCACAAATCAAAATAGATAGAAGAAGCACATACTGTTTTCAGACATGCAGAATATTGCCATGTTAAGAGAGCGTTTTTTATGAGTGACAATGTCTGTTTTATTGATGAATATAATCTGAAAGTCTTGGAATGGAAAGATGAAAAGTATTGGTATAATTATAAATATAATATTTGCATTTTATTTTTACACTTGTGTTTAATCATTCTTGGTTTGACAGAACAATAAACCTCAGAGAACAAATTTTATAATTGGTTAAACAATCTTTTGTACAAAACTTGCTATATTTTGGTCACTTTACAACGCTGACAGAGATTTTCTTTTGCTTTTGAATTATGTGCAACAAACATATCTAATTTCCTTTTATTATAACTCTAAGCTTAATTTGTTTCCTAATTCTTTAGATTAAAACAGATTAAGTGTTATCACCAACCCCTTTGTTTGTTGTGTCATGCATTCTCCTGTCATAATTAGTCCTTTTTTTTTTTCT